TGAATTATTTATGCATTGATATGTACAGTACATGTATAACATATGCTCAGAGAGGGAGGGAGTGAGAAAGAGAGAAAGAGAGAGAGAGAGAGAGAGAGAGAGAGAGAGGAGTGGATAAAGGTCAGAAGAATGAAAGGTAGAAAGCAAGGAAGAAGAGGTGATATCATAAAATAATAGTACATGTACATGTAGCTCAGTTTTTACCTAGTTCTATTAACATTGTGATATTAGGATCAGTGATACATGTACTAAATGGTTTCTTTACTCCTCTTCCTACATCTCTCCATTCAGTTGCTCCAGCCCCACCCACTACCACCAACCACACACAGTCTGGACTCATCATTATTGGTGATAAGGAATGAGACTTTCTACCAGTAACAGATTCAGGTAGAACAATCTGTTGATATGATGTAACATAACAATACAATGACTAGTAATAAGTGATATAACATGTTACTATACACTGATACTCACATACTGACATTACATACCTTACTCCACTGGTACTGACTGGTATCAAGTAACCAACTATCATTTACTAGTTGACCATCATTACCCTGTCCACCTATCATTACTAGTGTAGGTGAGTCACTGATGATACTAGTAATAGCATGACCATGTCTTTCCACAGGCCACTGTACACTAGCAGGTACTACTGGTCCCTTAACACTCTCCCAGTGCTAGATAAAGACAGTAACAATAAAACATTATTAAACTTATTCATTACTAGGGAGAATGCAATGCATTAAGGGGGCGAGCCTATAAGCAAGGCAATCTCAGTCTGCAGGAATTAAACTTATCTTACTGATAGCATTAAAGATGCTTATATAGAAGCAGTCACTGCATAAATCATATTTGAAGATTGTGTATCTGCTTTCAGTGCTTTGTTAACCTAGGCTTGCTGCTAGAGAAGAAACATCACCTAGAATAGATCTACCCATGCAGCTACGTGTAGGCTGGACAGTACATGAGCTTTCTCACTTGCATTCAACTTATCAGAGTCCTTTATACCAAGGGAAAGGCTGTATATCTGCTTTTCCAACTTTATTCTTGCTAAAGAAGTTTTTAGATAGCAGTTTAGTCTTATCTTGGCGACCGTTTGCTGCAAATAAACTCAGACTTGCTGGTAGTTGCCATTTTATTCATTGTGACCACCCCCACTTTCAATGAAGATTAGCCTATTTAGCCTATTTAACTTTAATAATAGTTAGACGATCCTATGCCCATACAAACAGACAGACGCTTTCTCACCTTAGTGGGGCGAGCTCAGGCTCGCCCCAGCAAGTACATGTACGCTAATGACCAACATGAGATGAGAGCATTCATGGCTAGCATGGACAATAAAATATTGGTGCATGCAAATTGTAGTGTCACTGGAAATGGTGACGTTTAAACTTATTAATGCAATAATAAGACACATTAACAAAAATATTAACTTTGAAATCTTATTAGCAATTTTGTGCCAAGTGTCATTGAGTATGCTGAGATCAAAACAAACTTGCAGATTTCATATTGACAAATTCTTCACAAACAATCAATCACTAATAACAAGTCTTGGCCAATAAATCATCATGTACAGTACATTGTAGGTATGAATACTGTATTATTATTGAATATTAAAGTAACTTACTATTGTAGTATCAGATTCAAGTTGACATGTATAGACATTATTAACAGGTACAGCATATCTTTCATCACCAATCACTAATCCACCAAACAAGACAGATTTATTATTACTGATCTTTGTAAGAGTAAAGCCAGAAGTAGGAGGACAACACTGTCCACTAATAGTTGGAATAATCCACTGTCCTAAAAGAGAAAGATTATCATATTGTGTAGCATAGACTAGTAGAAATAGAGAAACACATTAAAATACTTTATTTTACACAAGTAGTTAATGGAATGTGTTATGATTTAGAGCTGGATCTTACTTGTTGATAAATTTAATAAATTATGTTCATTAGTATGAACATGGCCATTAACCATCTGATCATATTGATACTGTGATTGGTATGTAGTGGGTGTAGAGCCAATCCCACCTATTGCTACAAGGTATTCTGTACCCATAGACTCCATACACACCATACCACCATACCCTCTCTTCATTACAATATCGCTACTTGACATTAACTTATTCCATTCATAAGTTAAAGTATTAAATAAGTTGACGTCATTATGATAGCAGTTGTCATGTCCACAGTAGCCGCCCATATAAAAGATGTCATTGTTTCTGATGGTACAGAAGTATCCTTCAGGTCCTAGAGGAGGTGACGTTCCTCTGGTCACGTGAGAGGACCAACGACCAGTCCTAAAGTCCAGTCTGTCAATGGTGGAGTACAACTTCATCTTTTGAGGAGATTCATGTACTTTAGGATGGTCAGGCCTGTTCCCTCCCCATACAAACAGAGATTCTCCTACTACAGGAGCTGAATGATGAAATATCTTACCAATACCT